TGCTGTATTTTGGAGGCCCTTGGGTGAAATCGCCCATCTAAGGAAGCTGCTGTTGGTCTTCTGGAGCATCAGCTGATCGTTTTCAAACATACTGAAATTGAGCCAGTTAGAAAAGCAGATCATGATTTCTTTCTTGCTGGTTAAAATAGAAGCTCAGGGAAATGAGAAGACCACTCTAAACTTCAAGTAAGGTGAAAACCACCCTAACCTTGCAGAAAAAAGTTTTTTTGAAAAATATCTTGAGGGAAAGTCTTTCTGTTTGTTCTGTAGACAGTGACTGCTTTCTGACCTGTAGTATGCATACACATTCACTAGCAATTCATTTGTGCCACAAAATTTGATGACTTGCTTTTTTAAGCTTTACTGCATGTATTTTAGGTAACTAGTGCTACTTTAATTGATTTTTATTTTAGAACTTTTTACAGTGTAATGCAGATAAAAGTTTCAGGGATTTGAGTCTCAACTGGACCTTAATTTCTCTCCTACAAAGTGGGGGTAGTCAAAATTTAACAAAGTCTTAATTTGTATGGCTATATACTATAAACGAAGATTCTTTGCAAACCTTAAAAGTCTTGCCCCTGAAAGTTAGTGGACGAGGAGCATTAGTGTCACCTAGAAGCTTATTAGAAATACAGAATCTCAGATTCCTACCCCAGACCTATTGAATCGAAACCAGCATTTGTGACAAGACTTCCCCTGGTGATTTGCATGCATGTTAAAGTTTGGTGAGCACTGCTATAAGATATAGTTTGCTTGGAAGAATAAATTATCAAGAGGATATTAGAAACTTACCTATAGACTAGAGCCCTTTCATTAGGTTTCCTTTAAGCAAGAAATCTACGTGCTCTGCTTCGTAGTGTCAACCTTTCATTATTTATTTCTTTAGTTTTAGGCAGAGTTACTCTGTCACCCTGGGTAGGATTGCAGGCATCAACCACCGTGCCTGGCTTGTACTGTTAAGCTTTTAGACATTTAACTAGAAGACTTAAAAAGTTGTGGGTTTTTTTTGGAGACAGGGTCTCACTCTGTTACCCTGGGTAGAGTGCTGTGGTGTCATAGCACACAGCAACCTCAAACTCTTGGGCTTAAGCGATTCTCTTGCCTCAGCCTCCCAAGTAGCTGGGACTACAGTTGCCTGCCACAACACTCGGCTATTTTTTTGTTGTTGTAGTTGTCATCGTTGCTTTAGCTGGCCCAGCCAGGTTCAAACCCACCAGCCTTGGTGTACGTGGCTGGCATAGTAACCACTGTGCTACAGGCACCAAGCCAACTTAGTCAGAATTTTAAAGAAGACTTTTAGTATTAAAAAAGACCTACTCTGATGAAAATAATGGGATTTCCTTTTCTAGAGAGTCTAAAATTAAAGTAGCAAGGTTGCTTTTATTGTAGTCCAACTCAATATAATATAAATGGACACATACTCCTAAAAGGGGGAATAATCAAACTGAGGATGGCTTGAGGCCAGTTTAAAGTGTCTAACAGTCCATTCATTTGTGATTTAAAAGACGAGTACAGTAGTAACTGCATTTGGTCTCTTAACATACAAACCTACGTTTAAGCCACCCAACGGTCTGAAAGTGGGTCACCAAGTCTCTGAATGTCCCAAACCAGGCTAGTCTGGTTCCCATTTTTATTCCTCTGAGTGCCACAGCTATAATTTTTCAAGTTTCGCTTCCTGTCTTTGATGCTTTCCTATGTAATTTTTGCATTTTCTCATTTTAATTTACCATGTAATCGCTCCATGTTTACCATGTGACTCTGGAAAATGTGTAACATACAACAGAAATACATTAGGAGGAATGTTAGCAACGTGGCTATGCTCTGGCAGTCAGTCATGTGGGGTGGCTATTTTCCTATTTAAATGCTAAGTTTCCTTCCAAGGTGGCATAGAGAAAAATGCCGAAAAGGCTAAAGGTAACCTCTCCCAGGTCTAGAGCTCCAAGATCTAGAAGATACCACTGTTCCACAGAAATGACTGAACTAAACTCTAACGCCAAAGGAAATAGGTGCCACCACTTCCTTACAAGACAGAACGACTCTAACTAAAAGCTCCCAACTTTTCTGTTTGCTTATTACTTCCTAAATTGCTAAATGCTATCAATTAAAAGTCAACCTAAAATGATGAATTACATTCAAAGAATCAAACCATTCTAACCTAATTTAATATAATCAGAAAAAGGGAACTCTCTGATTATAGAGTAATTGCAAAAAAGGAACCTACCTGTGGGATTCTTAAGTTTTCATTTGAGAATTACATTAAGGGCACCCCAACTAATCTCAATTACTACCGGGAGACTTAAGAGGGTCATGAATTATAAGACATATAACCCATCTCAAACTCATTAACTGGCTTACAGTTAAAATGGGTATTAATGAAATAGATCTCTACAGCTCTCTCAAGTTTCTCCATGTCTTACAGGCAGAAGCAGTGACTGCCTTTGTTCCAGACTATCTTTTCACGGATGTCTGTGTAGGGAACAGCCTTGGACAACAGAAAGTCTCCCTCCAAGGCAAAAGGAAGCCGTGCTGGACAGTGAGTTCATGACAAAGGTTCACATTCCTTAAGCCCAGAGTTCCTCTCCTGAACACAAACCACCAGGCATGCAGGTGTCACCCAGCCCTTTCTTTTTCAGCTGATGGGAATCGGGTCTCAAGGAACAGTTCATGAAAACGCTCGTACTTGGGCCACTGCTATTATTGTGAGGACTGACGTCCCTTGGTTCTCACTGGGCACTCATGCCTCCCACCAGCATCTACGAAACCATGGCAGGCTAATTTGTTAGCATACAAACAGGGCTAAACCGCAGATCCTCAGTGTTCTTGACAGAATGCTACAAACTTTTTTTTTAAATCAATGTACTAGATAACCTTTTCCTAAAATGCTGCAATGCCACCCTGTGTTAAAATAGCATATTGCTATTTAAAACATGAAAACATGGTTTCACTCAACTGGCTTCTATTTAAAATTATGATCACTGAGAATGCAAAAGAAAGTAATCTTTACTTTTGGAATCACAATATTAAGTATAGATTGGAATGAATATATAAATATACAAACATATCTTTTTAAGGTTCCAGGGCGTCAAAAAGCTTTCTCAGTTTCCACGGAGCCCTTCTGCCTGCTTTTCACTCTGATAAAAGCTGTGCCCTTAATTCACTACCTGCACATTTTAAAGATTATCCTTAGCAAAACTGTAATCCTAATATGTTTTTCCTGTAAGCACACCTGGCAATCAGTGAGATGCGGTAAAATTGGAGAGTTACGATTAATTTTAACTTTAGGCAATTTAAAATAAAGTTGACAAGGAAAATTTATAGACAGATAATAGCCAACCTAGAGGAAAAACCGTCTGAGTTTTGATCATTGTTTACATCTTCTGTGCTGCAACTACCATCTAAAAGGACTATTAAGGAACTCTCTCAACTATTAAAGAACTATTGAAGAATTTTAAAACTTTTATATTCTAAAGAATTCAAACGGAGCAAACAATATGCAGACGAGTTACCTGGAGCAAAGTTTGTCGTCCCAAAGAACTTAATGGTACCAATTCTCTGGCCTACCACCAGCACTCGATCTCCAAGCTGGAGTTCTCCTTCACAGCGGGTATTACTTGCTACAGATGGTGCTGAGGAATTCAAGCCTGTTAAAGTGGTTGATGTGCAGAAAGGTGCAAGGCGAGAAAGAGGAGAGAAAACAAAGGGGGGGAACTCAAAAAGCACATTAGCCAAAAGTTCACTATGTATCCTAACTAGTCTAGCTAGCTGGAGATTTCGATATTTAATGCTTTTCATTGTATGTCATCTACAGAGAGTGAGGTCAAACTACCCAAAGGAAAGGGTTTCCTGAGGAAATTATTGCCATGGAGGACGAAACCTGATTCTTAGAGAAGTATCGACTCTACCAGGATTGCCTGGCACACTCTCTACTAGAATAGCGTTCAGCAAACTGCTTCTGTAAAGAGCTAGATAATAAATACTTTAGCCTGTGCAAGCTGTACCATCTCTGTCACAACTCTTCAACCTGCTGGTGTAGCATGCAAGCAAATATAGACAGTACGTTGAAAAATATTGCCTGGATGTGTTCTAATAAGATTTTAGAAAAACAGGTGGTAGGTCAGATCTGGCCCATGGGTCACAGTGTGCCAATTCCTATTCTAGTAAAACACTAGAAGTATAGTAGTTCACCTATATTCACTGTGAATAATACAAAAAGGAATGTGATTTAAAGGTAAAATTGCTCTGATGTTCCAATTACCCCAAATTGATTTACTTAGTAAGAACAAAACCCCTCCCGTCTCAACTTGATAAGTAAACACTGAAATGCCCGCTATTAAACATCAGAAGTCCTAGAGAAATACTGTTTAGAGAGCTATTCAAATACAACAGCTGAAGGAGAAGAGGTGGGCCCTTGAGACTTGTTCCATCAGTGCATAAACGGAGATGTGAACAGCTGTAGTCCAGGAAGGCTTACAGAACCCTAGTGCGTGGGACAGAGGATAAGTCAGACTGTGAAAAAAGTGGAAACAAAAAAGAAGGTCTGCATAAAGCGCTACACCAGGAAGCCCTAGGCCCTGGTAATGACTAATATTGTATCGTTTACAAAGTGCTTTTCATAGAAATATTAACAATAAATAACAAACTCGGGAATTAACTAGAGCTCAGTGTTCACAGCCAGTAAGCAGCACACCCCAATGAAAACCTAGACCCTCGGACCAACAGTGTCAGGCCTGTCCCCAGGTTGTCTGCAGACAACAGACCAAAGACAGTAAGTTCAACTATGAGATGCAGTGAGGCTGAAGCCCACCCCAGACTTGCCCCTCGCCTTTACCACTCCCCAAATCCTTTCTGCCCACTCTTCCTTCTCTTATTCTTTAACCTAAGTTCCCTACTGTCCATTCCCTGCAGTCCACATCTCCCTCAAATGCAAATCTGCAGGAAAAGAGAAATCCCTACTCATGTAGGAGGTGCCTCCGGGTTCCGGTGAGGGCTTTCTCTGCCTCTCTGGGCATCTCCCATTCTCTGTCCCCTCCCCGGTGAGAAAGCTCCTCCTTTTCACTCTAAAAACTCCCTCCATCGTCACTATTATTTAAGCCTACATAACTCTCAAATTCATTTTTTTAAAAAAAGGTAAATGTACAGGCACAGAAGAACTACTTGGTATAAAAGGTTAAAGAGTAATTCCACACCCACATATTAATTTTAAAATGATATCAATGTCAAAAGTACAAATGCCAAATGAAAGGGGCCTTGACATTGAATGAGGACCAGATCTCACCTCTGCTCCTCACACCTTAAAGAAAACTTGGTTGGGATGGGTGGGGGCTATTTAGAGAATAATTACGTCAGCAGAACTTCCACGTTTCCTACTTTGGGGGTCCAAACGTTAATGTTTACTATGTCAATGTTACCTTTGGGGGGTTGGAGGTTTTCTACTATCCAGTAAAGTAAGTATTTCAAAAGGGAAAAATCCTGTCATGAGCATTTTCTATAATAAAATAGTAGCTCAGTACAAGTATCGGAAGTATTAGAAAAAAGAACCTAATAATTATGATGATGTTCATTAAGACCCATGTATGCCAAGATAGCTTCAATTTTTCTCTGGACAAAGTTGACTAAATAGGTAACTACGTGAACTGCAATAGACATAATCTATGTCGATTTCAAAAAGAAATCTGACGAGGGATTCTATGTATCCTTACACATAATTGAAGAAAGGAAAACTGAATGGCATTATGCAGGGTCCACAGCTAGTTAAAGCCATCTCAGAACAGGTGGTCACTGTCATCCAGCAAGGGACCCTCGGACCTTCTACATGGTTTTAAACAATCACTTGAATAAAAACAGAGGATGTGCTTCTTAAATATAAAGGGGGCACAAAGGCATGTGAAAGAAAGCTAATACGCAGGGTGCAAGAAGCAACATTCAGAGGGGACACGATGACTAAGAATAAACTAAATGAAAATAAATGCAAAGTCTTGTATCTAGTAGCAAAAGGAAGAGACCTCAGGGTGAGGCGGGGCAGAGCGTAAAGTGGTTCAATCGGACTGAAGTAAAGGGTTCCTTCTACACATTTAAAAAGAGCAAATCTACTTACAAAGAAACCAAGATTAAAAACACCAAGAAAGCCTGGTTGAAAAAGCCATAGATACCAGCACTGGCTCTGGGGGACAGAGAAGAGCTTTTGCTCACTGTCTTCTTGCTATTGCTGCTTGCGTTCGGTTTCTTGGGGTTGCTCTGTTTGTGTTCCAGAGAAGACAGAGAAGAGGAGGTGCTGACAGATCCCAGCAGGGTAACTGAAACAGGGAATAGAGAAGAACACGTCAAAGGGCGGACCCCGAGAAGAGAACCAGCTTCCCGGGCAAACCTTTCTGAAACTCTCCATTTAGCGTCCGCGGGTACATATCATCTAGTATCAAATCAGATGTCTTATTTCATCCAAATATTGGGAGCTTATACATAAAAGATTTTCTATCACAAGCGACAGTGTTTTAAGGATTCACACTTTTAAGACCACCATCTTATCTAGGAAGTGTCGCTATAACCACCACTATCATTCACCTCTCACCTTAGATGACATAGTAGAGTCCCAGCTTATTTATATAAAAACACAAAAACTGCCATTAACATGTTTTAAGGTAACAAAAGTTTAACATTAAGTTTGGAGTTAATCCAGAAGGTTAGCAGGAAAGCTTATGCTGTATTCACCTAAGGATTTGGTAGCTAAAGGAAACTTGCGACATTTTGGTCAAGCCATTTGTACTACGGAATTTCCTTTTGTTGCCTTTTAATCTAGTCCAGTAGTTCTCTCATTTAAGACATAAGAATCACAGTATAGAATTTTATACACAAAAAAGTATGCGTTGTATTATGTGTTGCTTGATGGATTTTCAAGGGTAATTTTTACCAACTTTAAAACTTAACCCCCAAATATAATGGGTTTTTTACTATATTATTTTTAAGTTCTATCAGAAATTAAAATTTGAGGCCAGGCACAGTGGCTCATTCCTGTAATCCTAGCATTCTGGGAGGCCAAGGCAGTTGGATGGCCTGAGCTCAGGAGTTCAAAACCAGCCAAAGCCAAGTGAAACCCCCATCTCTACTAAAAAAATAGAGAAACAAGCCAAGCATTGTGGCAGGCGTCTGTAGTCCTAACCACTTGGAAGGCTGAGGCAAGAGGATAGCTTGAGCCCAAGAGTTTGAGGTTGCTGTGAGCTATGACGCCACGCCACTCAACCTAAGGGCGACTGAGACTCTGACTCCAAAAAAAGAAAAGAAAAAAAAAGAAATTAAAATTTGAGCAACAGAAGTTACAAATTACATTACCATCTTTTTCTGTCACAGTTTTCAACTCTTCACCAGGAGGCAATGAAAGTGTGGATTCAGAAGCACTATCTCTTTTTGATGTCACTTGTCCTGAGACACAGAAATGAACACTTTCAGCAAGAATTATGATTAACATTAAAATTAAAACCATATATTTTTTAAAGTGTATGCATCCCTTATTATCTAAATCATATCCACCTGTGAAAACGTGTTGGATGATACATTCATTGACAGTGGAGACCAATATTTGATCATTTAAAGAAAAAAGAAAGAATTCATTCCCAGCCCATCTTGAAATACCAACTTCCCCAAATTTCACTAAAATATATTTTTAGCCTAGATCATAATCCACTAAGGCTTGAAGATTAGGTCAAATTCCCTCCAGAGAATACTGGCGGTGTGGTCAGGAAGAACTGAGGGTAGGAACTCTGGTTGGACAAAACGAAAATCCTAAAGAAAGGTACAGAGGGCTCGGCGCCTGTGGCTCAAGCGGCTAAGGCTCCAGCCACATACACCTAAGGTGGCGGGTTCGCATCCCCAGCCTGGGCCCGCCAAACAACAATGATGGCTGCAACCAAAAAAATGGCCAGGCGTTGTGGC